AGAGAGAGAGAGAAAAAAAGCCTCAGAGAGGCCAGATCGGAGTAAATTGGGCACAGATGGGCTGGGAGGGGGTTTCTCTCTCTCCCCTCACCGAGATGCCCCTGCCGCAAGCACGGCTTCAATTAGTCTTTTCAGAAACCAGAGTTTTATTCCCCCAAATTACAGAATTAAAAAAAAATTAAAATTCTTGAAGTGTTTGCGGTGGGGATAAAGGGAACCAAGCTCCTCTGTAAGTTGGTTGCACAGATGGCTACCAAACTGTTAAACGGGCCACCCCACAAAGGTCCCACCCCAACTGGAACCCAGGATGGCCCAAAAAGCTGGTAGTCACCTATGCTTCATGACAGGGAACTCCATCTACTGCACACCTCTGCCACAGAGTGCCTGTCCCTCTCTGCTTCCCTCCCCTGGGTGAGCCCTCCTTGTCTCATGGGTTTGATGTCTACAAGAAGCTTTTTCACACCTTGAATGTTCCTGATAGGAGGCAGCCAGGAGGTCAGAGGGACCTTCCCTGGTTGAATGCCTTCATGGACAATAGGGAGAGCAGCTCTCTCGGAGGAACATGCCGTTTGATGCTGAACAGCAGGGGAAGCACTTCATGTGGGAATTCTTTGGCTTCCTCTGTCAAAGAAAACAACAGACCCAGTCCATCTCCCAGGGTCTTCCCAGTGCTGCCCAGATGCACAGGCAGCTGAGACCAGCTCCAATGTGCCTGATGCTGCCCCTGGGGCACAGGCACAGCTCGGCTGCCTGTACTGGGCACAGACTACAGGGCTCCTGCCTGCACTCACCCGCGCCCTGCCTTGGGCACATGTTGCAGGGTCCCAGGTAGCCAAGGGCCACAGCAGTTCTCAGCGTGGGAGGAGGCTGTGAAACACCACATGCTGTTCACAACTGGCTGGCTCTAAAACCCATTTAAACACTCCAGTACACCCCCAAAAAGCCAACTTGTCAGAAGAGCACATGGTCACCTCGCAAAGGTTGATTTACAGAAGAGTGGCAGGCACTGGGAGCCAGAGATGTACAGGAAGACATATCAGAAGTGCAACATGGGGGATGAACACCAAGGCAGGGGGGGCCAGCCACTGGGAGCCAGAGATGTACAGGAAGACATATCAGAAGTGCAACATGGGGGATGAACACCAAGGCAGGGACAGCCCTGGGGGACCACAGCTGACTCACAGGACAGCAAAAGAAAACAAGTACAAATCAAGGACCAACAGACACAAACTGTCCCACACGAGTTGCCCATCTCCTGTGCTGCCTGGTGCCTCACTGGAGGAATTGGGTCAGACCAAGGCCACACTGCAGCAAAAAGGAGGGAGGCTAAGACTGAGATGGGGCAGGACAGATATAAGCCTGAAGAGGGAGGAAAAGTGTTTACTAGAGAATTTGATTGTTCAAGATTCCTTTCATTTAATACCTGAATCTGTGATTAAAAGTTTGTGTTCAAGGCCAGAACGTTTTGCAGAAGTTCCCCCCATTGAGACTGTTTTGCCGGCGACACCGCCCCCCAACTGCCAGCACCACGGGATCCCAGCACGAGGGATTCATTCAACACAAGAACTGGGGCAAGCAAGCAAGTTTACAAGTTTCTCAGGAGTAGCTGGGGCTCCAGAGACCTGGAAATACATGGGAGGGGAGAGAGGGAGCAGCTTTTCCTGGGGAGAACTACCCTTGGCCAGCAGGGTCTGAGACAGACCTCCCTCCCTGGCCCCAAACCTACAGATCTCCTCCGGCTACTGAGAGCTCCCAGCTGAAGGTCAGACAAGCCCATGTGATGGGAAGGACACAGACACGCTCTGATCCCACATTTGCAGAAGGATTTCAGTAGGAAGAGATCTCTGGAGGTTGCTCAGTTCAACTGCAAAGTTAGATCCAGCTCTCCAGAGCTGACACAGCCAAGCTCTGGCTTCGGCGAGCCCAGCTTGCAGCTCCCCAGTAATGCTTCCTGGGAATTGGGATGCAGGCAGGGTGGGTCTGCTCCCAGTGCCCTCCCAGCATCTGCAGGGGCAGATCAGCCCCCTCACACCCTCTCCCACAGCTGCCCATGCTACTGTCGCCCAGGGAGGTGACTCATGTGCTGGGAAATGGAAGCCTGCACCTTCCCGACAGCCGTTGCTGCCCTGTGCTCCAGCCAGATCTCTGCCCACAGCAGCCCACACACCAGGGATGGAGTCAACACCCTTGCTCTGTGCTGGGCACTTGGCAATAACAATTCAGCAAACATTCTTGCTTGTCTTTTAAACTCCAGGCCCTCTGCTTTTTTTTTTTTTTTGCTTTTTTTTTTTAACCTCCTGCACCCAGCTCTTCTCAGTATCAGTGTCAGCACCAACCCTGACCTGGGCTGTGCCAGCACTCAGCACATAAGCACCTGGGAGACCACCACGGCATTTATACTGACAACAGGATTTGCTTGCCAACAATATTCTCATCAACATTTTTGGGTCACCAGAGCACGGAGCCCTCAGGGAAACCTCTGAAGGGTGCCAGGCATCAGGTGGCAGCAGCAGTGCCACCCAACCTGCAGGCATGTCACCAACACCACCGCCTGCTGTCCCCAGCAGGAACAGGTTTGCTTTCTCCAGAGATCCAAAAGCTGGGAGCAGCTGGCAGCTACCCACAGGAGGGGGCAAAACTCCAAGAATACTTATTTTTCACATGAGATAAAAAGCTGTTCCTTTGTCACACACACACAGAGCCACAGCTCTGCTATGGATGGAAGAGCAGAGTCCAGTGGTCTGAGGGCTGGGATTGCTTCCAGCTCTGCCACAGGGGCTTATTGTACAGACAAATCTCTTCCCTCTTTACCACCAGCTCCTGTCTGTGGCACAGACACCACTATTCATGCACCTACCAGAGACCTGGGCACCTGCTTCTCTGTGTGGTAGGGGGCCACAGGTAAAAACTCATCTCCTGGAAGCACCACTTCCAACTCAGTGGCAGAGACTCTGGTTCGGTGACACCTCAGCTGATGAACACATTGAACCCAACAATGGCAGAGACCACACAGAGCCCCCTGGGTGGGTGGAGGACAATGAGTAGTACTTGATCTCTAGGTGTCCAATGCAGGGAGCAGCCTCCAGCCTGGCCTTTCAGAAGCATCATCTCCCACCACATGGCCCAGCTGCCTGCACAGACAAGCAGTGGCAATGCCACTCCTCCAACAGCCAAGGCTCTCCCAGAGCCTCCCATCCCTTCTGGTGCCAGTGTGGGCACTGAGCACAGCCCAAGCCAAACACCAGGAAGGCAGAGCCATAAAGCAGTGCCTTCTTCTGTGCTTGATGACTCTGGCTATAGGGAGATGCCTCCTCAGATACCTCAGCCCACTCCACCAAGGCCCACTTGAGATCTCTTTATTGTCCCAACGCACATCAACACCCCCAGACATCCAACCACTGCCCCCCTTTCCCCATCCACCTTCAGCTGGCGAGTCCCCACCCACCCTCCTCCATGAGCAACTTGGCCATACGGAGCGTGGCTGCTCCCCAGCCCAGTCCCCCTAAAGCAGCACGTGGTACCTTTGGGCTGGGAGTTGTACACTGCAAACATGTTGATTGCCACAAGCTGGAGCATGCGGTTGCTTCCGATGGGAGGGGGGCTGTGCTGCAGCAGGACCTGGAACTCCCTCAGGACCTCCTCGGCCACCGCAGGGAAAGTCTCCATCCTGCAGACAGAGAGAAAGAGAGAGTCTGTAGCGCGCAGGCTGCGCTGCGGGGCGGCCGGTCGGCACAGCTCACCCAGTGTCACAGCTGCTGGGGAACAGGGACCACCCCTTGGGTGCTGCCTCCCATCCAGGAGCCATGGGGAAGGAAGGTGCAGGCTGCGACGGAGGCAGCTGCAGCTTTCCTTAGAGAGGGCAGCGAGGGATTGCTCTGTGACCGACAGGCAGCATTCCTTTGGCAGGAAAACACGGCCTTTATGAGTCATTTCTGACCAACCATTTTTTTCTACTGACTTCTACCAATCTGGGAGGGGTGCCAAGAGGCCAGGCAGCTCACTTGGACCAGGAGCAGCCCATGGGACTCCCAAGAAACCCGGGCTGCAGCAAACTGCACACACTGGTGCCACATTGCGGATGTGGCAATTCCAGTGCATTGAACATTGGCCAGAGCGTGTGCTTCCTCCAGAAGAACAGTGCCTGTGAGCTCCTCACTGTGGGATCAGACCCTATGGCACAAAGCCACATCCACCTCCCTCCCCCAAGGCTTATACACTCCCTAGCACTGTGATTGAACCCCTAAACTTCATCACTCAAGAGCCCCACAGGACAAGGACCTGCAGATTTAATGACTGGCCTCATCTAGCTGCTGGAAACATCCAAGCTGGAGCTGGTCCCTGCAGCACACAGCTCTGCTGTCACCCATCAGGACACAGCAGCCAGCGGCTGCAGTGCCACAGCTGGGGCTGGGCTGGGCTTTCAACACTGCTCACGAGACCCCATGGAGATCTGACACATTTATCCTGCTCTTCATCTGGCATCACTGAAGGAATTAGCTGAGGTTACTTATCGGATCCTCAGTGACCTCCCAGCTGAAGTGGGGTTAAAAACTGAACTGGTTGCAAAGAAGAGCTCACAAAAATGGCTGAGACATGGCTGCCCACAACAGCCCTCCCAAAGAGAGTCCTCACCTGGTATCCCATGAAGACAACTTTATAACCTAGAAGCTGCCAAAAACCTTGCCAACCATTGGGGCTGGAGGGGAAAGGTCCTCCTGCCCCATTGCCTCTTCTGCTGAGCTTGCTGTGTTATTTCTTGCTCCTACACCAGGAAAAGACACAGCTAGACCCACCAAGAGTGAATATCTGTCCCACAGCAGGCATCTGCTCCAGCTATCACTGACATTGTACTCGTGTGCCCACACAGGAGCAAGGGAGCCAAAACCTGCAGCCAGTGAGGGAGGCATTTGGAGCCAGGGCAGCAACCTCAGGGGCCTCCAGAGCAATTTCCTCTATCTTCCCCTGAGAGATTCAGATCTTGTGATATCAGCACACTACAGGCTGGATTAGCAAGCCACTTCTGGTAACCCACATGGGCAATTCTGCTGGGCTTCCCCAACAGACTTTCAGGACAGTAATAGACTATTTTTAAAGACAGAAATGGCTTTCTTCTTGATCATATTTCACAAGTGCCTTTCAACAACCAGTCCTACTGAGCAGCAGGGGTACCCGCTCCCTGGGCACTGTTTGCTGGAGCAGTTCAAAGTCTCTGTTACCTTCCCACAACCAGTGGCTGTAACAAACAAGCCCCTTATACTTTGGAGCTGTGCAGAACAGAACAGTTCTGCTGGTACAAAAGCACTGCTCCCCCTGGAAAAGGCAACTTCCCTGGATTTGGGGAGCAGCCAGAGAATTAGAGCAAACTGATTGCTTCTAAAGGCTTCCTAATTTTGAGATATCTCAGACCACATCCAGCATATCCAGCAACATCCTTCTAGGGCAGAGAGGACACTGGGGATGGAGGAGCCCTTTACAGGATGGGTTGTTAGTGAGGAGATGAAGATTACTGCCATAGAATAACACCAAGGAGAAGTGAAGGCTTCCTCAGCCCCACCAGCTGTGCTTTGACACTGCAGCACATCTGGAACAGCATGCAGTAACCCCACTGAGCTCAGAACTAGCAGGTCAGGAGCAGAGCGGAAGCTTTTAATAAATTGCTTACCTGTGGTTTTAGGAGCAAAAGAGTCCAATTAGGGCAACATTATCTTTTCCATACTTTTAAGGGATAAATCATCAAAGATCCTGCCCAAAAAGGACTCAACTGCTCTTCACCTTTTACCTATTTTAAGTCGGAAGCTGTTTAGCAGGGCTGGATGATTTTCTCTTCCTGTGTCATGGTATTACTTTCTAGTTCCCTCCTAAGTTCTTCAGGGGATATTCTACCATTAAACATATTTGGGTTTTCTAAATGACTGTCCTGGGAAGCAACTGCCTCAAATGCTGCATCTTAATGTCACTGAAGTCTCAGGAGCGAAATGTGCAACCTCTGCAGCATTCCCAGTAATCCCCCACTGGCACGTGTTCAGCTGGAACGGGGCTGCAGAGCCCAGGGCAGCTCCCCAGATGCTCTGCCCTCCAGTTACCAAACCTGCCACGGGCTCCCACAGCTTCCCCTCTCTTTCACCCCCGCTCGTTCTCTTTGCGGCACGCCAGCCTGCTGCCCGCAAGCAGAAAATCAGTGTCTTGTGACTCAGGGAGGGATCCAGAGCCCTGGCAGGAGCTGATTGCTCTCCCCTTCGCCCTCAGACACTCGGATCTGCAACAAACTGGCCAGCACAGCTCCTGCCTCCTGCTGCTTTATGAAGGGTCCAGAGTCAAGCACGTGACACTCCTGTCTGGTCACCCCAGAAAGTGTGCTGGAGGGAGCAAGCACAGGGGTTCCAGGTCAGCACTCGTGTGCCCTGTGTCCTGCACTTCCCTGCTACTGGAGGGAAAGGAGACAGGCCCAGATCCAGGGAACTGTACATCTGAGTCAAAAAACCAATGCTACCTTTACCTAAGTAGCCTAGAAAAGGTCTCTCAAGACTGTAACTTGTAGCCACTAGTTCCACAAGACGCTGAAGGAGCCAAGAGAGCTCGTGAGGCTGCATCTGCTCACGAGGCACTGGCAGGCTCAAGCAGCCACCACTGTTGCCAGAGACCACGTGAACCTACAAGAGGTCTCTCTACAACAGCCACCCCATCACCTGGCAGCAAGGGCCAGGCTGGGCCCTTCTTCCAAGAGAAGCCCATCAGCTGCAAGGCTGAGCTCTGCTCTCTGGGTCAGAAGGATGTCCCCCAGGCTGGGACCTCAGCCCAGGCCTGGATCAGGCTTGCTTTGCTTCAAGGGTGACTGTTCAATTACTTGAAATCAGTTTCTGACAGACGTTGCCAAGGGCACTTTGCATAAACCTGTTCCCACAGTCAGGGCAGCCCTGAGCTATGAGGCTTCCACCAAAATGGCAGCAAGGAGGTGAAGGGGGAGACTTGTCTCAACATGCTGCAGATGGCAGCTTCCAGCCACTGCCTGGTGCTGCCTGGAGGGCTCTGTGCTCCTCACAGGCAGCAGCCCCCCAGAGCCCCCTCTTCACTGGCCAAGAGGGGGGTGAACGGGAGTGGAGTGGCAAGACCAGACATTAAGGGGGACATGAGAGAAAACAGCCTCTAGTTCTTCCCATGTGTGTATCAACCATCTGAGCTCAGCCTCTGCCAGGGGGTACCAGCACACAGGCAGGACCTGTCCTTGAGGTGGGGGAAGAAAAAGCCCTGACAAAAACCAGTGTGGATGGGAGGGTGGGTAAGGAGAATAAGAACCAGGAGGCCAGGCCTGCAAGAATTCACACCCTGTGCCCTCAGCTCCAAACACAGCTTAGTTGCTAACAATATTAAATTCCAAAAAGACTTGTAATGTAGGAAAATAAAATAAACATCCTGCACACTTACCCAATCCTGGTAAACAGCTTCCCATGGGCATGGAGAAAACTGAGGATGAACCTTTTGTTCAGCTGCATGGGAAAGAGAAAAAAAAAGAAAAGGGAGAGAGAGGAGAAAACAATTAAACTCTCTCCGATTTCCTGCGAATTAAGAATGTCCCCAGTGACAGCAGAACCTGGCCGGGATGCTGGGGGTGGCACTGGAGATGGGAACCAAATGGACTTGCCCCAGCACCGCGCGCGCACAGCGGGGCACGCGCCCAGCAGCTGGCGCGGGAGCGCGAGCGCCGGTGGAGACACAGCGCCCTCTGGCGGGCGCGCGGGGACCCGCACCGGGACCCCCGCACCGGGAACCCCCGCACCGGGAACCCCCGCACCGGGAACCCCCGCACCGGGGACCCCCGCACCGGGGACCCCCGCACCGGGACCCCCGCACCGCCCCGGGGTCAATGCGGGGGAACCCTCAGGCAGTTCAAGGCAGGGACCCGCGGCTCGGGGGGCTCAGCAGCCTCTCGCCCAACGTCCCCACCAGCAGGTTCTGCAGGGAAGTCGGGCAGCCCAGCCAGGAATGGGTTTCCAAGAGAGAGGAAAAAGAGAGGGTATTGGGGTGTCAGAACCATCACATTGCTTGGGTTGCAATCCAGGACCTTTAAGCTCACTGAGTCCAACCATTCACCCCACACTGCCAAGGCCACCAAGACCCGTGTCCCTCAGCACCACATCTTCCTGGCTCTGACACCCCCAGGGGTGGGGGCTCCACCCCCGCCTTTGGCAGCCTGGGCCAGGGCCTGACAGCCCTGCTGGGAAATACATTTGTGCTAATATCCAATTTAAACCTTCCCTGAAGCAACCTGAGGCCACTTTGTCTCATCCCATCATTTGCCACCTGGGAGAAGAGATCAATTCCCCCTCCCTCCAACCTCCTCTCAGGCAGCTGTAGAGTGAGAAGGTCTCCCCTCAGCCTCCTCTTCTCCAGTCTGAACACCCCAAGTTCCTTCAGCTGGTCCTTGTAACACTTGTTCTCCAGACCCTTCCCCAGCTTTGCTGCCCTTCTCTGGGCACACTCCACCACCTCAATGTCCTTCTTGCAATGAGGGGCCAAAAATTCAACACAGGATTAAAGGTGAACAGAGACACCTTTCATTTCACTCCAGCCTTAAGCAACTTCAGAGAAGGAGCTGGTGTTCAGACCTCATGGAAAAGCCCCACAAAGTCTGCAGCATCACTCTTGGACTACCAGAGCAACACAGAGCTATGGAGATACAGATGGAGGTGGCTGCAGCACATGGTCGATGGCATCTTCCCCCACACATAACACCAAAACTTGACTTGATTATTTACTGCTGCTCTAAGCCACTTCTGCCAGCTCAGCAGAGCTTTGGGCTTTCCCAGTCCTTATCTAAATGGCTTTGAAGAAGGCTGTGGGTGGGTGAGCAGTCACTTTGCCGGGCCCTGGATGTGGCTGTGTCACACCAGGAGCAGGCTGGCCTCCCTCTTACCTTCTCCCCAGCAAGAGGTTTTCCTCTCCCGCCTGCACAGTCTCAGGGTGGTGAGAAAAGCCAGGCCCCAGGCCCCGCCTGCGGAGATGCTGACCAGAAGCAACCCAGAGCACCAGAGCTGTGCTCCCATTCCAGCAAGATTTTGCTATCCCAAACCTCTCTATGAAATTCAGCAATGCCAATTCCATTTCCAGGGGGATCAGATGGGCAGAGGGAGGACAAGGTGAGCACGCAGGGCTGTGGCAGTGCCTGGCCAGGCAGCAGCCACACGTGAGGCTGCAAAACAGCCCCCAGCCGCTGCCTCCAGGCACCACAGAGCTCCCAGCCAGGCCTGGCTCAGGGGGACAGTTATTACAGGCAGCCCTGGCATAACCTCCCACCTTCATCTTCTGAGCCCCTCAGCTCACATCAGGACTGATGGCAGCTGCTCCCCAGGTGGGATGGCTCACGTGGCTGGAAGGAACCCGCGCAGGATGCCCGGCTGCAGTCGCTCCTGGGCCATCTGCGAGTTTCAACAGAAAACCTGCCTCATAAAACAAGCCAGACCAATTAAACTGGCCCCTGCAGCAAGAGGTTCTTGCTTACTTACTATTTTACTGCTGCCCTAAAGAGCCCTTTCCACTGCAACTCAACTTTACTTGCCACCATTTTATTAACTCTGCAGATGAAACCCAGAAGAGACTGGGGAATACTGGGACAGCAAAGCTCTCATTCCCTCTACCATGGAAGTTTGGAAAGAGCTGCTTCTCCACCATCTTCTTAGGACACTGAGGCAGCCCAGAGCTTTAAACCATTAACACATGCTTGTTTTTCCCCCAAGAACATCATGTAGAGGTAGAAAGCTGGCTGGTGACCAGCTCCATGTAAAATACCCTGACAATAAGTCTGAGCCCCTAGCTCAGGGTGGGGGTCCATGCTCTGCTCTATGATGGAAAATATATGGATATGACATGGAAAAGAGCAGGAACTCATGGCCTGACCCGTCTCTACCAGAAACCCTGTCATGACGCTGACTGGCAGGCTGCACGTGGGGGAAAGAAGAAATGGTGGCACAAGTTTTTCTCCAAGGCCCACATTCTCCCACAGCCCCAGGAGCACTCACCCTGCAATCCCTGCACCCCTTTACTGGCAGTGGGGGAGTACCCAAACCCCCACCTTGAATGGAAAGTGACACCAGCACCCACAGGGACGTGCCCTGAGGTTCCCATGCAGACACCCGGCTCCAGCAGGGCTGCCAGGACATTGGCTTCACCCACATCTTTACAGAGCAAGTTTCAAACTCAGCCTTTTCACTCACAATCCCAAGGACTAATCAGTCACACTCCACAAGAACCAGTGCTGAACTGGGACTTAGATACAAATGTATTTATAATTTGTTTGAAAGGAAGCTCTAGGGAAGAAGCAGGCTTCACACCTCTTGCCAACTCAAGCACAAACCCAGCAAGCCCAGGCAGAGACCTGTGTGCCCCAGCACTGTGGTATCTCAAGCAGGCACCTCTGTGCTTCTTTCATCCCTTTTTCTCTCACAGCCTCAAGGTTTTGATGAGCTCATCACTAAACTTTGGACCTTTCACCTCCAAGTTCACGCTAAGGCCACAGGCTGCTTTGACTGGGCTTTTCTCTGAATGACTCCCTAGTGACTCACCTGTCCCTCAGGCCCCGGGAGCCCTCCCTGCTCCTCCCATCAAATGTTGCTTCTCACAGTGACACAGAAACAGTGACTTCCACCAAGCAGCCCAGCTTTGGAGGAAGTCCCATCACCTGCTGTTCTGCATGAGCATTGTGGAGAGAGACACTTCCCCAAAGCCCTGCTAAGTGTGCTCACTACCCTGGTGGTGCTACCATGAGACCTGCAACACCTCCTTGCCTTCATCTCACTCACTGTGCATTCCAAGGGTGCTCACCTCCAATGGTTCCCTCAGAATGGTCCTTGTAGCAGGGCTCTCTGGGCATTCACATCACTGCCCTTGAGGGCAGCTTTGCTCCTCAGGATGGGGAAGCAAATCTGGCTGGTCCCAGTTGGTCATTTGGGAAGAGTCCACCAAGCAAGGTTTATACAACAATGAACCTATGTCAAAAAATGGGGTTTGGCCCTTTCAGTTGAAAAGCGGGCACCACAGATATGGAAGTTATGAGCATATAGTGAAGGCATTAGTTATAAAAACAAACCAGCTGTCAAGAAGAAGAAGAGGTCCCTGCACACAGTAGTGCCTGAAAACAGCTGTTTCGGCTGTCATGAGTCAGCATGTGCAGACAGACTAAATCCACCTGGGAAGAGGCAACCTCACCAGAGGAAGCAGCCCACTGCTGCTTGGGGAGCATCCACACACCACCACCAACCAAACTGGATTTGTTACCATGGAAGGAGTCAACAGTGACTAACAAGTCGTGGAGCAGCTAAGTGCAGAGATAGCAACAGCCCTGGAGCAGCCAGCTCAAATCACCGAGAGGCCTCCAGGCGTATGTCCTGACAGCACACAGAGCAGAGGCCCTCAGGCAGCTTCAGGAAAGCTTTGTCATGTCCTGAGCCAGCAAAGAAGAAAGCAAGACCCAACCTCAGGAGACTCTGCACTGACCAAAAAGGGTTGAAAAATTGTCTCCCACCTCAGCACAAAAATACTGGAAATGCCACTGGGTTGTGCAGGAAAAGCAGTGCTGGAAAGCAGAGCTGCCACACTCAAACCCAGAGTGGACCCATTTGGCTCACAGGAAGGAGAGAGCAGAGAGCTTTGGCACCTGAGCATCAGCCTCAGCTGTGAAGGAGGCACCAAATAAGGGAAGGATTCTGGAGTGGTGACTCCTGGGGAAAAAGAGTTTCAAGTTAAAAATTGTTACTTCAGGTTTGGAAGTAAATTTCAGGATCTGGTCTTTATCAAGCGAGGCAAACTTTCTTCAACATCAGCAAAGCATCTGTGGAGCAGAAAGTGGTGTCAGAGTCAAAATAGGCTGCAAAAGACAAGTCCATTAATCAAGAGACCAGATGCAAAACTGCCTGTAACAAATATGCTGTCTCCACTGGAGTGGAAGGGACTGGAGCACAGCAGGGTGTTCTCCCAAGTCTAGGGGTCTCCTCAGTGACACGGGGTTGGGATACAGACCACAGAGCCAGGCAGCTCCGCTCCAAAACACGTACCACACTCATCCCAAATGCTTTCAGGGTTTCTTGGGCAGCCAGGCTTTTCCAGGCACAGCTTCCTTGCTGAGAACTCTCTGAAATAACATCCAGGCACCCAATCCATGCCATACCCTCAATTCCCAGCTCCAGGGCTAGATACACCACGTTAAGATTGTCTCTCACTCCCACGGGCAGCTCCTTCAGAGCTTCACCCCATCCAGCCCAAGAGCAGCAGCCCTCAGCTACCTCCCCTGGAGACAGCCTTGCAGACATGAGCCTGAGCCTTCATCTCACACCATCCCAGAGGAACAAGGCACAGCTCTGACTGTGACTTCATGGCAGTATCTTGCCGAAATCACACCAAGCACTGACACAGACCTTCCTAAAAAGCCCAAAAAGCTGCAGTGGGCTCAACTGGCAAGAGACTAGGAGGAGGTTTTTACTGTTACAGGTGCAAT